AAAAAAAAAAAAAAAATCACCTTGTCAGCAAGGCTTCTCTCCACTCCAACTCCATCATAACCCCATCCCAATCACCTCTCATCCCCTGTTCCTGTTTCATCTTTCTATAGAACAGTCATCACCACTGAACATAGTATGTACTTTCCACATTTTTCTTCCTTTCTTTTTTTCTTTTCTTTTTTGTTTTTTTGTGAGACAGTCTGACTTGGTCACTCTGGGGTAGAGTGCCATGGAGTCATCATAGCTCACAGCAACCTCAAACTCCTGGGCTCAAGTGATCCTCTTGCCTCAGCCTTCCGAATAGCCGGGACTACAGTTGCCTGGCACAACATGCAGCTAATTTTTCTATTTTTCAGTAGAGATGGGAGTCTTGCTCTTGCTCAGGCTGGTCTAGAACTCCTGAGCTCTAGAACTCCTCTAAGATTACAGGAGTGAGCCATGGCACACAGCTTAATTTTTCTATTTTTAATTAAGAAGTAATCTGATGATTTGAGACTCTATGAATAACTTGTTCCCCAGAAAAATTTCACCTGATAGTAACATTCCTTCATGAACTTTGCTTTAATTATTACTTTGTAGATAGCAAAATGGTGAATTTCTAATTAGATTACTAGCTGGAGTCTTTTAAGTTCAATGTTTTATAATTCATTGTTATCCTTATGACATTACTCCTTTTGATGCTCGAATTGCCTCAGATTTAACCAAGGGGACCCCTCCAACCGGGTATCATGTCTTTTTGACAGTTCTTTTTCAGTTTTTAACCACTTCCTTATGTTTTTAGCATAAAATGCCCCAGCCTCACTCCATTCTTTTCCTGCCCTACGTCTGGAAAAAGCTGTTTCCAGAGTCCAGGATGCTTTTAGTGGAGAGCAGGATTTTAGAAACAAGCTCTGGGAGCTAGGGTTGGGATTAGAGTACATTGTCTTTAATTAGATAATCTCTTAGCAGATTAATCATAAACATTCAGTGTCTAAAACTAATGCTTTCTGGAGGTTTCTAAAAATTAACTTTTTTTATTGTTTGGGATTCATTGAGGGTAGAAAGAATTAGATTATACTGATTGCATTTGTTAGGTAAAGTCCCTCTTATAATTGTGTCCTGCCCCCAAGAGGTGTGCTATACACATGACCTCCACACCCCTTTCTCCTCCCCTCTTTCTTCCACCTTGTATTAGATCATCTACTGTCTTCATATTAGAATTGAGTACATTGGATTCTTGCTTCTCCATTCTTGTGATGCTTTACTTAAAAGAATGTGTTCCAACTCAATCCAGGTTAATACAAAAGATGTAAAGTCTCCATCTTTTTTAAGGGCTGAATAGGATTCCATGATATACATATATCATAGCTTGTTAATACAGTCCTTAAGTTGTTTCCACACTTCAGTGATTGTAAATTGAGCTATGATAAACATTCTACTACAAATGTCCTTATGATAAAATGATTTTTTTTTCTTCTGGGAGCTGCCTAGTAATGAGATTTCAAGATCAAATGGGAGGGTCTAATTTGAGTTCTTTGAGGATTCTCCATACTTCTTCCAAAAAGGTTGTTTTAGTTTATAGTCCCACCAGTAGTGCAGAAGTGTTCCTTTCTCTCCACATCCACGCCAGCATCTGCAGCTTTGAGACTTTGTGATGTGAGCCATTCTCACTTAGGGATGATAAACATTAACTTTTTACTGATACAGAGTAGATGTATGAAATCTCAGGGTACATGTGATAATTTAATACATTCATATAATCAAATAAGGAAACAACAATATCCATCACCTTAAATATTTATCTTTTCTTTATGCCAAGAACATTTGGATTATTCTCTTTTAACTACTTGTATTTTGAAATTACAATAGATTAATGGTAACTGTAGACACTGTTCATCTATCAAACTCCGGGTCTTTCTTCTAACTGTAGCTTTCTGGAGGTTCTTAAAAGTAAGAGATTTGGGGTGGCACCTGTGGCTCAAAGGAGTAGGGCATCAGCCCCATATGCTGGAGGTGGCGGGATCAAACCAAGCCCCGGCCAAAAACTCTTAGGTCTTACTCATCAGCCTGCTGAACTGTTCCTTTTTCAGAGACATAAATACCATCCAAAATTTTTCTGATATCCTTGTTTTTAACTGTTGTGGCCTGCTGAATCAAAGCAGCTGAATTTGAAACAAGCTCAATATCATTTCCTTGGAGGATTAACTCATCTTTCTGGGCTTGAGATACTGAACAGGCAACACCTGCCCTCATCCGAACCCGGCGGATATATTTTTCGCCCAAGAAATTTCTTATTTCAACAAGAGACCCATTCTCCTGGATAACAACGTTGATGGGGAAGTGAGCATACACAGACCTCATCTTGTAACGGAAGCCCAGTGTAACACCCTTGATCATGTTCTGTACGTGACTACAAATAGTGCGAACAGTAGCCAGTTCCTTTCTATTTCCCCACCATTTGTCAACCCGGAGCCTCTTCTTTTTCTTTCCAAGGAGACTGAGTTCCACATTGATGTGGTTGAAGTCCCTCCGCAAGGTTCCTCTGGGACCCTTCACAATAACTGTGC